CTGCAATATATGCCTATGAGTATATAATGTTGAAAAAATAATTTGGAATAGACTAAAATTGTGTGTGTCCTGCAATGTGTAACGCGGACACAGTGTGTGACAGTAGTCCTTTTCCATAATTTGGACATCAGATTAGACTGACTGTTAGCTCCTTTGCCATTTCAATGTGTTAAAAAAATATTTGATTTCATTAATTTTTTACTCCGATATACTATAAGTACTTGTAAAGAGATGGTACAACGGTCGATAGATCTTAATCAATTTATAACAAGATAGAACTTTACTCGTAAATTAACAGCACTGAAATATTTCATTAACAATTTCCAATAATGGAGTGCATATACCGCATACCCCACACGTGACCTTCACCGAAAGCCAGGCAAGATTTATATCAGTTTACATATTACATTCTCTTTTGCGTTACTAGGCAACTCGGGGATTAATGCGGAACATTCGTTCCGATCTCATTTGCTTTTTGATTCTTTTAGAAGCATCACCCTTAACCAGAAATAGATCCCCAGCAAAATTCTGCCATAAGCTAATTTCACGATGTAATTATTCATGAAAAATCTTTTAAATTGGATACACTTTTTACGTGGTAGTCATGCAGCAGCTATATTATGGTTGTAGCACGTATGGGTCGGCTTGACCGGGGTAGGACCTCGCTCTCACAGAACACCATCGCAAGATAGCAGCTAAATGCTGCTGTTTCGTATGGTGAGTGTAGAGACGCTGAAACTCTTTTTACTGGAAACGAGGCGTTCCATCTTAGTCCTCAGGGGTGACAACGCATCTGCATTTTGATTCTCAATCGAGAATAAATGGAGATGTCTATGGGCCACAGCATCCAATTGCCATCAGGTGAACTGCGTGTTCGTTTGTCACCCTTATTCAGATCACAGTTTCAGACGTCTCGCTCCTTTGATGCTGCTGACCGTCGCCATTCTAAGTATTTTCCGTTTGGTGTAAATGATATAGTTATACCATATCTCGATAGATATACGGTTCCAGTGAAGCTAAAACTTTTCTGGCTTTCCTATAGTCTCCTCTTACGACTGCAACAGAACGACATTAACAATGGGGTTCAACACCACCATTGCACGATATTAGAATGCGGCACACTTTATTTTTATTTATTGCCATCAGGAAATATTCCATAAAATCAATGAATATCAAGTTTATACATACATGTAAATAAAATTTAGTTCTCTGTCTGTAATATTGAAATGACGGGCTACTATTTTAAAATGTTTGTCTGTCCAGGCTAATGTTCACTGGCTGAACCGATTGCGATGAAATTTTACGAACAGAACTTTACCAGGCAATACCAGGAGGAATCTAGGCTATATGTTTTATCCAAAAAGCTTAGAGATTAAAAACAACTAAAAATGGATAAAATAAATTGTCTTTGATTATTATTTTTATTTAAACAACGCTACATCAATAGATTTTATTCCGGCGAAGCCGAGGCGGGTAGCTAGTTTGTTAATAAAGATCTGTACTTTCTACTTATTTATGTAAAAGTAAGGTGGTTTTTCTTCATATTTAATATATTATAAAAATGTTTATCGAGCTACTAAATGAGATAAAATAAATAATAATCTTCACAGCCATTCATCCTATTTTTCTACCGACTTCAAAAAGAAGAAGGTACTCAATTAGACTATATCTTCTTTTTTATGTGTATTACCTAATAACTTTTTTCTAGGTGAACCGATTTCGATTATTCTTTTTTCATTTGAAAGCTGGTGCTTCTCATGTGATCCCATAAAATGTTGATCAAGGTCTCATTATTAGTTTTTGTTGAATCCTTAATAATTTATATTGAAGTCGGTTATACGAAATTTATAATTTAAAATTATAAATCAAAATTTAACGCTATAACGTTATTATATAACAAAACAAAGGTGCATAAATCACATAATTCCATTATTTTACTCAGTGTGTCACGAGTTACGGTCGTTGCGTAACAGCTTACTGGAGCGCTTGGTGCAACCTAGTACACTACTTTCTCACTGACCACATACGGCCTGCATTCGCATACACTGGATAAGCACTAAAATGTATAATTTATGTAACCGGTTTATTACCACTGGATGATCATTTTATGTGGGACATAATCTGATACTGGTACGAAATAAATATATGTAAGTATAGACTTTTGTCTGTACATGATATAGTAAACTTGTACATGGGAATTTTTATTTTAAATGTGCTACGAGTGTGTTATGGATTGCATCTAACACCTGTAGTGTGATAAATCTAATGATAGATAGTCTGTAGATATACTCAAACATTTTACTGTAGAATGTATATTTAAATAATAAATTGATATTCATTGTAAATTATTGGGTAGTGGCGGTGTGAAAATATCCACTACCACTTATCGTCCCGTTGATGTCATAAGAGTTGACAGAGGGAACCTAAACAGAACTGAAACAGGAGATAGGCACCATCTTACTGATGATTCGCCTCTAACTGACTGGGGTACGAAATATGTCACATTGTAAGGCATGGTGTTTGGTAATACAAGTTACCCGAAAAAAGTGTTTTAATGATGTTTGAATTTTGGTTTTTTATAATATATATATATATATATATATATATATGTGTGTGTGTGTGTGTGTGTGTGTGTGTGTGTTTGTGTGTGTGTGTGTGTTTTCCTAAACGAAAAAAAGTTCAATTGTAAAACTTATTATAATTAAATATTTATTCAATGCCTGTCCATCAGCATCTATACAAAGATTAAATTGTATCTGATCCAATATTCGAAACACTTCCAGTCAGCAGACTCCAACGCTGCTAGCGTATTTTTGTTTTGCTTATGCTTATGCTCGCTTTTCACAATTATCTATAAATAAATGTCACGGTACTAGTCCAATCAAACCTGCTTCTGAGCATCAATGAGATTGTACATATGCGTACGTGCACATGTTGGTAACTATCCTCCTCACGTGAAGGCGTTCCTGTAAGATTTCGTGAAAGCTTCTTCACCCAAACTTCAATACGATGTGCTGAATCTCTTTATATGTAATTTTCCTATTCTTTTCAATTAAAGTTTTCACTGCTTACACGTTTTCTTCCGTAACAGCCGTCAAAGTGCAACCACTTCTTTCTTCTCTGTGCTAATTGAACGTGCTGTAATGTCTTGTACATAGTTGTCGTATAAGGGCCTTTAATGATAAATTTCATTTCAAATTTATCAAGCGATTCATCCGATTTTAAGCGACATTTAAAATCGTAAAAAATTATCACGTGAAAATGTTCACGGCAAAGATTATTTTTTCAATGAAACATGATTTTTGAAATCAAAATTCGTTTGTATTTTTGCTTGCAAATAGTCGTATTTTTAAAATAAATTATAAACATTAAACAATTATTTATCGCAAAACTTTTTGAGTGGCCTGTGGTGTAGTACCTCAACCATATGGATTAACATTAGCTAACTTAATAAACATGATACGCAAGCAAATTATTTCACATAAGTAGTATTTCATACATTTCTTATACATTTCCTGTAAAAGTATATAAAATTAAAATGTTAGTTCGAGAACAATGGTAATGTGGTATTTTAAATACTTTTAGCATAATTTCACCAATTTATATAAGCAAACAAAATGAATAAGTGTTTTGTCCTAATAAAATAAAAAATAAACTTCTTGAAATGGTTGAGCTAGTGAAGGCATCTGTGTTAACGTGACACCATAATACATATCCTGGAATGTTGATGGTTTCCCAAAAAATGCGAAAGTTTGTCGTTGAATTGAAAACAGATCAGGTCATATTTTGGCCATATTGGATATGGACTAAAATATATACATTTTATATTTTAATCCATATCCAATTTATTACCAGTTGAAAAATGTTAACTGAAAATATGGCAAACGTTTATAAGCACGATGTATTTATTATCATGTCTTATTTCCACTAATTAATTAATATAATTAAAAATATACTTTAAAAGTAACAATAAACGCGCTTTACACTAAGTTTTGAGTGATTTTTCCTTAATCAATTTCGCACTATCGTGGCTTCTTGCAGCAAATATGATGAAAAAAAATCATTTTGGTAAAAAAATAGACTCTAATTAAATTAATTACATATTTTAAGTTAAATTCTTTGCGATGAAACGGCAATTTATAAAATAACTGCGTCATAGATTATATAGATATATATTTATTATACAGATATTACTTTAATTAGAGTCTATTTTTCACCCAAAGGAAATCTCTGTATAAACATGTACTTAAGTGAGATATTATACAGATATATTCATTTGATGCAATTATTTTATAAATTGCCATTTAATCACAAAGCATTAATCTTAAAATATGCAATTATTTTAATTAGAATCTATTTTTTATAATATCTTAAGGAATATAAAATACAATACTTTACAAGGGTATATATTACCCTAAGAAAATCATTTTCATATCAAAATCTTGGGTCGTTTTCATTTTCGTGAAAGCAAGAAGAAAACTTTTGGAAACAGATTTTTGTTAACCTTGAATGAATCCCAATAAGTGTCAATGGTATGATGTAAAGCGTAAACTGGTGTCGTGTTTCCAGCCGGTTTCACTGGCTCGGGTGACACATGCGTACAACGCTTCCCTAAAGTATAAAAAGTATCGCCCATATGGGCTCCTTATCAATCGAGCTCAACTCTCTTCATCAACATGTACTTTAAAGTGAGATATTTTATTAACAAAGTAATAAAAATAGTATAACACTTTTACTAGCTTATTCATTATAACATCTTCTAAAGATATAATCTATACCATTAAGAAAATCGGTATAAGATAAAATTGAAATACATAAACACCTAACGTACTTTCAACAAAAGTTTCTTCAGTTAATTAAAACTTGCGTACAAATTATCATTGAATTATATTTTAGAAGCATAACTTTGGTTTTATATATTTATATCATATATATTTGTAGTGTAATTCTGAAATATATTATAATATTTTTAAATATTTCAGATCGCAGTTTTCAGTCTCCTGGTAGCGGCATGCCTTGCTGCTGACGAAGGTCATGGACAAGCAATTTCTTCACAAAGCATAGTTCATCATGACCAGCCTACCCATGGAATCGCCACCCAATTCGCAGCAGCGCCCATAGTTCATCACTCCGCACCTCTTCTGCAACAGCATTCGACTATTCTGCAGCATAGTGCTCCCGTCGTTCACGCCACCCCTATTGTTCAACACGTTGCACCTGCTATCCATGCTCCTGAGGTTTATGCACACGCTGAACATATAGAAGAAAATGTAAGTCAAAACTTTCGCAACGAAACTAACAAAACTAAAAAAAAACAAAACCTTATCATAATATTAACCAAATAATTATAATTATTTTCTCGCTCAAAGGCTAAGTATAGCCATTCAGCGGTGAAACACAGCGAGCGTTCTTGGCACGATACCGCGGGGAGTAGGACTATATGATAATTAAGTTTCTAGTTTTAGTTTTTTTTTAATTATTATTATAGTTTTTAATATTGTAAATAATTATTCGTCGATTAAGTTGTATCGTAAGGTAGTGAGGCATGGAATCTATCAACTGATTTCATGCCACGGATGTCGTAAAAGACAGCAATGGAAAATACTAGAAAGATTTTTCCAGTACATTTTGTTATTACGGTACAATGCGATAGTATGCTAGACGTGAAACACTCTGACCGGCAGGAAACAATCTGCCAATCCGTCTGCCAATAACGCTTCATAATAATTATGTTTAACATTAAATGTTTTATGTGTTATGAAAAAAAAAAACAATAATAAGTTGTTGGTCTTATACTCGTATTATACTATTTTCCGTTATCAGTTTGGATATTATAACCAGGTAAAATCAAGCAAGAAATCATTTTCCTCTATTTAAAAGCTTCGGGTCTATACAGTTAAGTTTCTTATTAGCCGACTTTAAAAAGGAAAGAGATTTATAACTCGACTGTATTTATTCTATGTTTGTTACGCGACACCTTCGTCAATTGTCAAACAATTTTCACGATTCTTTTTTTTAATTAAATTGGTACTCTTGAGATAATCTCATATAAATTGGAAGCAAAAATTTCCACCCCTAAAGGTGGCGAAATAAATGATGAATTAACATTTTGTAGTTGGGTCTTAGTTATTCTATACACTATGTCTTAGCACCCACTTTTCAGTTCTTTTAATTTGACATTTACTTTTAATTAAATTATGAAGAAACAGAAAGAAATACAACCTTGCGTTCTCTCAACCGTCCACAAAATATCCTACATTTTGGAATCTGTAAAAGAATGAAAATATAATACTTTTATTTCATAGCAAATAGTAATTACTGGGTTTCTATAAACTATGTTGTTTTAATTATATTGCTTCTGATGTCATTAAAACATTTTGAGCTTGTTGCTTGTTGCGACACTATTAAATTTTAATTGTACTAACTTCTTATTAAAATGTGTTGTAACTACTGTCTGTTATTTATCAATTCGCATTTGATTTATTTATCAGTAACTGTATCGACATTTTATGCCTACTCCCGAATCATTGTAACGAAATAAAATTGTTTATCATAATTTGGATCAACTACGGAAATTCCAATAAGCAGAGTACAACGTCACGTATGTTATCATTAATCTTTTCTATAGTCATGAAATTGAGTATTGTTACTTACAGGCTCCTGCGCATTATGAGTTCTCTTACTCGGTTGAAGATCCTCACACCGGTGACCACAAATCCCAACACGAGAGTCGTGAAGGTGATGTTGTAAAAGGCGAGTACTCGCTTCTGCAGCCTGATGGCTCCGTCAGGAGGGTGGAATATAGTGCTGACGACCACTCCGGGTGAGATTCCATATTTATCTATAAAAATAAATAAAACTGAAGTGTCCGTTTGTAATGTCAAAATAACAGCTATTTACTAAATTCATATTAAAAGTATATACGGCACTTATAACATAAACACAATTTTTAAAATTTTTGTCTGTCTGTCTGTCTGTTTGTCTGTTCGTTCCGGCTAATCTCCGAAATGGCTGAACCGATTTTGACGGGACTTTCACTGGCGGATAGCCAATTTTATAAGAAGTAACTTAGGCTACTTTTAAGTACAAAAACATTTAGGGTTCCGCGCAAATAAAATCAAAAACAAACTACACGCGGGCGAAGTCGCGGGCTACAGCTAGTTAAATAATAAAATTTCCTATTTGTGTTACATCAAGTATTTCTATTCGAATCGAATACACCTTCACCTCAATCTAAAGACTACTGCTAGTTCTAGATACGTTCCACTGCTAGACACTGGCCTCTTCTTGTTAGATTAGGTTTTGGAGCAGGGAAAAGTTCAAATATTACACCGTGCAGGTTTGTTATAATATCTCTACAAGTTCATAGCTTTACATGGGCTTCCCCCAAGCACCCTACATAGCACGGCCCTGAGCCAAATTTGTCTATTGGTACGAGGCTGCCACTCGAAAACCTTTCTTCACCACCGGTTATCTGTTCTTGCAGCATCTCAGCCCCAAAATACAATATATGTTTAAAATCAAACATATTGAGTACTTACAAACGAAAACAGCATTTGGGAGCTGAAAAATCAGAAATAACATACAGCACTACAGATTTCTTTATATAAATATATGAAAAACCATTATTACATACAGTTTTAATATCAAGCTCTTATATACATGATGTTCTAATTAATAATTACTTGCATTTAGCGGATGTTCATAGTTGTATACTATACTTTCGTAGATTTCTTAACTGGATTCTCAAGCAACAAAGAACTTCCAAGCAAGCGAGACTAACAATTTACAGATAAATCTAAGAACGTAGTAGTTTATCCTTCGATCGTAATTCAACTGTTGTTTCGGTCGATAACTTTGATAAAATCGTGTAGTTTCATACTCGCTCAAGCATTTTAACGATGATACAACAGAGTAGTGATCCTTGATTACCGTTACAGTTACTGCCTATATAAGTCCACTGTCAAACATAGGCCATGCCCTATAGATTGGCGTTATAGCGGGCAATATTTGCCATAGCGCTTGGCAGGCAGGTGTGCAATCGCAACTTTTTATTTTTAAGTTGATATGACGAAGATGCTGCTGCCCATCTCCTGTATTTCTCCCTCTGTCGCCTCTTACGATACCCACGAGATGATAATATACGAGTTAATGGATAATCTACCGCCACTACACGTTTACGGTTTTTTGTTACATCATTTAAATGTTGCAATTATCAATATATTTAATTAAGGCAAGTGTACACTGCATTAAAAATGGTTAATAGTTGTATCTTGTGCTGTAAAAGCTTATATTTCACTGTCACACAAAGTCATTTAGTTTCATTTTACTATTTATTTTAATATATCATCATTCTACCATTGATTGTAGTTGTTTGCAGAACTAATTGAAACATAAAATTTATATATTTAGATATGGTTATAATTTTAAAAATAATACCCATATAAGTAAACAGTACCCCAGATGCACAACAGAACCCAAAGTAACGTGCATTTTTTGGAATTAAAAAGTAACTCGAAGCAGTATGTATATTATTAGCATTGTGTTTTATTCCGTTTGCCTTGAAACATTATGATTAACAGTACAGTAATTTAATGCTAATAACTCCAATTATAAACTAATGTTTTACTTCATTTTTCAGTTTCAAAGCTATCGTTCACAACTCTGCTCCATCGGCGCATGCAGCTCCTGCTACACCGGTTGTTCAAGCGGCCCATGCACCTATTGTCCACGCTGCCCCCATCGTCCACGCCACTCCTATTGTCCACGCTGCCCCCATCGTCCACGCCCCTCCTATTGTCCATGCGGCTCCCATTGTTCATGCCACCCCCATTGCGCATGCTCCCATCGTACATGCGGCACCACTATATGCTCATCATTAAAATAACTTCCCTTTAATGTATTTTCCTATTATAAATATACTAATATAAGTTATTAATTAGAATTTTATTTGAAACCCGTTTTTAGCTTATACTATACGTAATTCAAGACGCTCTTTGGATTAAGCCGATTTTTTTTAATTACATTGATAAGTATCTTTTACCAATTCGTTTTTAATTCACTAGACAATTTTAATGCATCGTGAAAGAAAGAAAGACACCAGAGAGGAAATAAGGCTCTCGCAACTGATAAATGGCATAAAATTCGTCCAAAACTCCATTTGTAATGAAGAGCAACAATACCAGTACGAGGGTGTGTGGTGGTGGCTTCGCCGCTCACCCATTTGGCTGGTTGGTTGGCTTAGAATGGTGAATATTTTTAAATGGTAAATCTTCCGAAAATGATTTAGTTTTCTTAGTTTCTTGTTACGTATTCTACTCAAAAGAGTAAAAAAAAAAAACTTTTAATACGAAGTTAACGTCGACTTCGAGGAACTAAGAAGAATAAAATAGTTTCATAATCTGAAGTCGAGGCTTTAATTATTTTGTACACAATACTTAGCACCGACTTCATAATGTGAAATATTTTTTTGTGATTTGGATGAAGACTTGTACTAATTTTACAATATTTGAATTTTCTTATTAATTTTAGTTCTTAGTCCTCCTACTTTTTTTTAAAAGTTAATTTTTCTCTGAGATTGTTTTGGCAGAATCCTTTAAATATTATTTTTATTTTCTCTGCAAATAACCAGTCAAGCGTTTTGATAACGACCAAATAGTAACAGTTGATCAATAAGGCTATGATTTAATTCCAATCAATAATCACATTTAGGCGAGTGAAAGTGAATGGAGATAAATGAAGTTATGTAGATATTTTACGAGTTTACTACAAGGTAACCTGTCTATAAAATATTGAACGATCTATTTAATAATAAACTTATGCTAAATAAAATAGTACAATATAAGTAAAACCCTCACCAAATCTCATCCTATTAACACCACAAGAAGACCTAAAGACCTTGTGGCATCCAATACATGGCGGTATAACCATCTTGAACTTATAAAAGATACAAATAATATGCATAATTATAAGCAAAGTTACAATTCTTTTGGTAATTAACATAAACCATTACACTACTAGGTTGATCAATAAGTTTTTGGAAACGCAATGAAGCTCTAGGATAACTATATGTAAATTGTATTTATTTTCCAACGCAATCGGCTTTTAAGCTAATACACCTTCTTTAACGTTTTGTAAGTTGGGTAATTCCCTTGAGAACAAGGTTTTGGGACTCGAAAAAGGACTCTGCAACACACATCACCTCATCGTCGCCGTCGGATTTAATACCTAATACGGAAGTGCTTTTTCAGTTGAGTGGAAAGGTAAAAATTACTTGGAGATAGGTCCAGAGAATATGGTGGCTATATGGCTGCATCAACTGAAACCGAGTAGTTCAGATGGCAGTGCCTGCAACATCAGATTGATGGGCAGGGGCATTATCATGATGAAAAATCTTTATTAATTGAAAGTTTATTATTTTGTTCTTTGCGTAGTATTTTGATTAATGATGCGGAATAATCGCTGGTTATTGTCTCTCCCTTACTTTAATAGTTGAACATTATTATACCTTCCGCATCCCAGAAGACAGAGGCCATTACTTTTCAAGCGGACGCAGACACCTTGGATCTGTGGGCTGGCAGGGAAGACGGTCTTTTCCAGATCATGCTTTCGTTATTCGTCTCCAGGTCAAAATGGTTACGAAACGAGCACAAAATGAAACTTCTTCAATTATTACTAAATTTAGCTTTGAAATATCAACTCTTGCTTTCGTTTGAACATCTGTTAACATTAATATTCGCGGCCACCTTTTTGACTTTTAAGGCATGAGTTAAAATGAACGGAATTATCCAAACGAAAGCTTTAGAATCTCAGATGAGTAACGGATGCTCACATATCGATTTACCTTAACAATTTCTTCGATTTTTTAACGTTTTATTGGGAAGCGGCTGTTGTTGGTCGCCCAAAGTGAGTGTCATCATTGCATGTGATTCAGCTGTGTTTAAGTTCAGCGCACCAGTATTCCACTGTAGAATAAGATAGAGCGTTGTCTACCAAAGTAGAGTGCAGTTCTTCAAAGACACTTTTTGTAGAAAAACTTTTCATGCAGAAATGTTTAAATAATCTGTTTGCCATCGTTTCCAGAAGGTCTGACGTAATTTACTCAATTGTTGATATATATTTTATCTATTTTCATTTATGCTTACAAGATCATCTTCTGGTAAATATGTGACGCTATTGCTCAATAGGAAGTATGCAAGGGTTAAACATTGGTCATATCTAGCATCATCTATAAGGGGTGTTATAGGTCTGCTATTAACAATGGCCTCGATCTGAACTAATTTATATAATTTATTAAAATGTTCATAGGACAATATATTGTTACCTAGCACTCTAATTGATGTTTTACTAATTTTACTGAGCTCGCTCACATCACTCCCCAATGGGGCGAGTTTGACCCATTCAATATTCTCATTAGACATAAAATCCGAGATATGCGAAAAATCTGTTTTAAACATTTTATATAAAGTATTTAACTCATTTTTAGCTCCATGAAATGTGGTTACATTGTCACTGAATATCTGAACACACCTATCTCGCCTACTTATAAACCTGCGAAGAGAATTAAGAAATTCTTTAGTGGTTAGATCTGAAACTAATCCTATATGGATAGCCTTAGTGCATATGCATACGGAAATACAGATAATGCCTTTAACAATTAAGGGTTTTCTAATTCTGGTAGCTGAGTTGCAAAGGGCCAGCAAAATCTACTTAAAGTTAAAATAATCTGTTAGGTATAACCCGGTACCTAGGTCAATCAGCCATTACCTTTGAAACAGCGAATGCGTTATTTATCAGCCTTCGTACCTGATTGCACCCGTTGAGAGGCCAGATATACTCTCGCAAAATGGAAAGAGTTGTCTGTGGACCAGGATGCAACAACCTCTCATGTTCAAAGCGTATTATCAAATCTGTGAATTGAGAACGGCCAGGTTGCAACAAAGGAAACTTGTGTGAGTAACTAATGTTGGCATGATGCAATCGACCTCCTACTCCCAACATACTTACTTCATCAACAAAAATATTCAGATATTTTATCTGATTATATGTAAATTTGGGACAAGTTTCTTTATTATGTTAACTTAATATTTTCAATTCGTTAAGAAAGTACAAACGTTGTATGCAACCAATTACCGCTAATGATGCCTGACGCAATTCTTTGCTAGTTAAAATAGTAAGAATTTTATTAGCCCCTTTCTTGCAATTATGTATAAATCTACGGACATAAGCTATTAATCGAACAAGATGTCTCCAACTAGAGAACCTTTAAAAGAAAGAAAGAAATTGAGAATATTTAGCCTGATTATCATTTGGTGCAGAATCATAAACAGCATGGATAGGCACAGTTTGCTCAGGTATAGAAACATGATAAGACTCGGGTCACTGTGATGATGGCACTGACAACCAATAGGGATTCAGAAACCAGAGGCTGCATGCAGGAAGGTGTTGTGGTTCCAGGTCACGTGAGACTACATCAGCTGGGTTATCATGGGACTTGACATGACTCCAGTTACATACTGAAGATAAGTCTTTATTTGAACAACACGATTGGAGATGATAATATCATGTTTAGCTGGATCACTCTTTATCCAGCATAATGTGATCTTGGAATCTATCCTTAAAATGTATCAGCACGATCAAAACACAATTTCTTGGAAACATTGTTCATAACTTTAGCCAGTAAGAGAGCTGCGAAAAGTTCTAACCATGGAAGGGTCACAGTTTTGATAGTAGTAACCCTCGATTTAGCACACACTAAAAGCACTGTATATTTATAAGGAATATATGATAGATAGCACACTCATAGAGCTGTCTGCAAATCCATGGAGCTCCACCTTAACTATTCCATGGGCAACTATAAGATGAGGCACCGAAATAGCATTTAAATATTTTAAATTTTAACAGAATGACGTTTGAGCTGCTAAAACGTGCTGATGATTTGAATCATTCCAATCTACATTTTCTTTCCGAATTAATTGCATAATTAATTTAAGAAACACTGTGACTGGAGCTATAAAGCCTTATGAGACTTTAGCAATGTCAGAAAGAACATTTTGCGTAGTTCGACCTGTTGAATATACGAGTAGCACACTCATATGCATTTATCGAGCTGTCTGCAAATCCATGGAGCTCCACCTTAACTATTCCATGGGCAACTATAAGATGAGGCACCGAAATAGCATTTAAATATTTTAAATTTTAACAGAATGACGTTTAAGCTGCTAAAACGTGCTGATGATTTGACTCATTCCAATCTACATTTTCTTTCCGAATTAATTGCATAATTAATTTAAGAAACACTGTGACTGGAGCTATAAAGCCTTATGAGACTTTGGCAATGTCAGAAAGAACATTTCGCGTAGTTCGACCTGTTGAATATACGAGTAGCACACTCATATGCATTTATCGAGCTGTCTGCAAATCCATGGAGCTCCACCTTAACTATTCCATGGGCAACTATAAGATGAGGCACCGAAATAGCATTTAAATATTTTAAATTTTAACAGAATGACGTTTAAGCTGCTAAAACGTGCTGATGATTTGAATCATTCCAATCTACATTTTCTTTCCGAATTAATTGCATAATTAATTTAAGAAACACTGTGACTGGAGCTATAAAGCCTTATGAGACTTTAGCAATGTCAGAAAGAACATTTTGCGTAGTTCGACCTGTTGAATATACGAGTAGCACACTCATATGCATTTATCGAGCTGTCTGCAAATCCATGGAGCTCCACCTTAACTATTCCATGGGCAACTATAAGATGAGGCACCGAAATAGCATTTAAATATTTTAAATTTTAACAGAATGACGTTTAAGCTGCTAAAACGTGCTGATGATTTGACTCATTCCAATCTACATTTTCTTTCCGAATTAATTGCA